GATTGAGTGACTGGAGAGAAAAATGAAAAATTCTTAACATTTGAATCAAACAGCCGACTGATTGAATTCACCTACATTAGTTATTCCGTCTCGTTTCCAAGATAAATCAATTTCCGCTTTCTCATCTTCGATTTTTCAATTCTCATCATCATTGCGTAAGAAAATAGAAGGGACGGTGTAAAAATGAAAATTATTACTCGTAGTTCAAAACTATGAGAAATATGATGTGAAGTAATGAGGACTTCTTCCTCCATCCCAATACTTAACGATGACAGACAAACGCGTAAAGATTTCCTTGAACGCAAATTAATTTTCGATCATTGTTGCACGTTACGAACGAATTTTCAATCAACAAGTGTCACATTTGTGAAGGAATAAATTGAAAAAAAAAATCATCTTCAATGGGTAATAACTCTAAGAAATTTACCGACCGATATGGCTATTGATTCGGTCAACCTTTAGATGTTTTAAAGGTATAAATTACATAGAAAGCGGGATGCTATATGCAATCCATCAGCTTTCCCAACCTTTGCATGAAGGAAATAATAGAACAATTATCAATGCACAAATTAAAAAATTCGGAGGCACTGGGGTATAATCCCAGGCAGAGTACGATTCTGCGTCTCCAGTTTGCCAGACTGATCGTCTGCCACTTGAGCTACCGGGCCTCCACGTAATAACTTCATTTAGAATTGCTAATAAACCTCTTTTAATATTCACGCCAATTTCCATTCATCTCGAGGAATTTTAATTTCGGAAGAAAACGAAAACCGACAAAAAACTGATCTGAAAGCCCTGTTTGCTCCCAGAATTTTAAATTCAATAGAATGTCAAATGAATTGTTTCCATAATTTACCAATATATGGTTGAAATGATCATTACACTGCAACAGATCTTTGAAAATTGAAGTGAATAAAATGATCTATCAGTAATCTAACAAACTTCTGCTGAAGAGCAATATTCCCTTTTTCTATTAAATTATCTTTGCGTGTATACAAAATTTTATCTACAAAAATGAGTAATAAAAATTCGTCTCTTAGTTTCATCGAT